GAGAGAGAGAGAGAGAAGAATTTTCTAGACAGTGTCAATCTTCTTGTTTAAAACAGTTTATTGCCAATAAGTTGTCAATATTTAAATATTTTTATCTAAATATACTTATGTGTTAACTGTGTGTAAACGTAGAAGGTATTGGTGTCCATTTCTATTCACAATAACATCGATACTTCTCGATATTGTCAATAATATCGACCACGTGTAGGAGCCTTCCACTCCCATTTCGTTCTAGTAACACGATTCTCACGAGAACCCTAGCAGCCTGGAAGCCCTCGGAGCTATAATCCACACCTAGCGAATCAGTCAAATCGATGGAACGAGGAGAAGAATTTCGAAGTCAGAGATCAGGCGGGATAAATAATCCCGATATCTCGACTGAAATTAGCACAGGGTCCGGAACACAATCGGGCAATAAAGGATACCGCGATATTTCACTGGAAAACTTAAAAAGATCGTGATGATTAATGGAAGCATAACGATCGCGATGTGCTACATAGAGGCACGATCGCCGCGTTTAACCCTAACGAGATTGACGTGTCGTGGGTCATTAATCTCGGCATCGTCCTCGAATTTCCCTGGATTCTGGTTATTAATTTAATTCACCGGCCGCCATGTCGCGCCGCGTCACGTGACACGCTCGCTTTAATGAGATGGCGCGCGTCGCGTTTCGTGGAAATTTTCTTAGACGGAAACTGGCCGATGAAACGCGAAGTGCGTCGTTACGTTTTATTATGTATATTTATACGGTGGTTATTAAGGCCATCAGCTGCTGCACTCGGTTCCCTGGTCAAGTACAGAGGATTGACGTAACGCGATGATCGCTTGCGCGCGAACGAACCTTGTCCCAGGAGTTTAATTGTGACTCCATTGCCGAAAATACGAATTATTCAACGGCTGTAACTGGGTCGTAGGAATGGCGGATCACACGCTGGAGCTTCGGAGATAAATGAACGTTTGATCGTACTGACGAGGAGCGCGTTTTTCTGTAGGTGTTCCGAGGGGATTAATTGCTTCGAGCTTTGGGACACCTTTCTATGTTTTGTCATCATCTCTTTGGTAAAAGATCATCGTTATTTTATACATTTTCCAATCGTGCATTGGTTGATTAACGTTTGGAATTTTCAAAATGGTAGCATAGTATAGCTAGATAGAATATTTGTATATGTTAGTATGCATGCACATATCTGTATTATAATAATTAAAATATAGTTGATTAATAAATAGAAATTTGTGTCGTGTTAAGCTGTGTATTTAAGCAAATAGAAATTCAATTGTTTTGGTATTATTAAATAGTAGGTGATTATTGTTATATAGGAAGATATAGGTGTTACTATATAGGAGGTATTACATTGGTTGATTAACATTTGCAATTTTGAAAATGGTAGCTTAGTATAGCTAAATAGTATTTTGTATATGATAATATACATGTATAGATCTGTATTATAATAATTAAAATATGGTTGATTAATATATAGAGATTTTATGTCATGTCAAGTTGTGTGTTTAAGTAAATAGAAATTCAATTGTTATGGTATTATTAAATAGTAGGTGATTGTTATATAGGAGGATATAGGTATTACTATATAGGAGATATTATTCTAGAAATAATAATGCAATCGGACTAAATTATCGTTAGTGAGAAATTAATATTTATTAGGTACTTAATTTTCTCCTGATTTTCTTTTTTAAGATTTAAAAAGACCTCGGTGAAGGGAAATTTTTGGATGTTCCTACTCATCCAACCCCTCTCTTCACTAAAGACATCCTCCAGGAGCACCCACTTTTAGCTCCACTAAAAGGTTCTCTGTAAACATCCAAGTACTATTTACATCCAGTAAAGTCGTCACTCAGAAAGTATTTTTTTAACAGGCAATCTGGTTAGTTAACGATCCAAGCATAATTTCACCCCTGTATTACTTCAAAACAATTTCTATCGTAATTTACGTCGAGGAAATAGAAGGTAGAAGCTTTTCAAAACTCTAATTTATATTGAAAATTGAAAGAAAATTTAAACTTTGATAAATATTTTGAATTTTTTCACTGATCCTCTTCCACTGTATATTCAAAAATCACTAAAATAATTAAATAGATGGTTCAGGTGCAAATTTACTATTACTACTGTTATTAATAACAATACTTATAATAATACTAAGTGTCAGTAAAACTACTTGGTAATATTAATAACACAAGTATTCAATATTGATATAAATAATACTAATAACACAATTACTCGATATCCATATCAATAATATTGTAAGATGGAGAAAACTGGTATTGAGACACCAGAAATTAGCGGAACAACAAGAACAGAATAACACGAACACAATACTCCTAAAACTAATTTAACTTAGGAAAAGAACACCGAGATAACGCAACGAAAACACACAGAAACGCTCTCTTTCCAACACCAAGGGACTCACACTCGTACCGGTCACAATTAATTTCTGAGGACTCTGTTTTGGTCGTCAAGGGCCCTGCTTTTATGCTTTTCTTAACCTATGCTTCACCTCCTCGTATTGACCACGAAACTTAATTTTGCTACCCAAAATAACTTTTCCATTTGCTTTTAGAAAATATTGATCGGTTTATAATTTGCTTTTGTTGGCAATGGCCAATTCGTGATTTCTTTCGAAATGGTATCTTAAAATATAATTAATAATACAATTACTCGATATCAATGTCAATAATTCTAATAAATCAAATACTCGATAGTATTGACGATAATATTAATAAAACCATCGTCAGTGATTGCAACTAGATCCAAACAGTAATTCAGAGCTATCAACTGACGATTTCATAACCCAACGGACATACGTACATATAATCTCCTCGAACTTGACGTCGCGTAAAGGCTGATCCGCGTGTGTACACTTAGACGCGACTGGAGCGGTCACGGAAGTCTTCGGCCGCTGCGGGTTCCGGACAAAGTGCGCTTAACGAGTGGACAGGCCGGTCGTTACGACTAATTGCGGGGGAACGGTCATTAACAATACGAGAACGCGATGCCGGTGAGAGGTGAACGACGTTAAACTGTTCTTGTTTCATATGTTCGCAGGCGTGCGCCCCGAGGTACGTCTGGTTCTCGTTGTCCCAGCAGAAGTACGATCCGGATGACAATCGATGGAGCAAGGAGTCGACCGCTGGAAACCGAAGGGAACCAGTCGGCACATGCTGGGTCGTCCCCGGAAACTTCAACAAGCCGCTGGAATTTTCACCCTGTCGAACCAGTGAGTCTCTGTTTTTATCCTTTACTCTGTTTTTCTCTTTTTTATCGGGAATTTTAACCCTTTGCCCTGCAATGAGTCTGACTCGCCACGAGTCCTTCATGACAAATCTCATGGTTGCGAGCTATATTTATTTATTTATTTATTATGTATAGATAATTATATAATAAATTGTATATTTTAATTAATTATAAATAAATAAATATATTAATCATATTTAATTATATGTCAATTGTAAATAAATAAATAAATAATATTAATCACGCGACCATAATTGTATTCTTCACAGTTTCGAAGTTTTAATGTGCACAAAATTCGAAAAATTTCGAGGATTTTTATACAATTTTATCGTGGATGGAATAGGTTCATAGTGATTGAATAAAATTTAATATTATTTCAATGTATAGTTTTTTCATGATTAATCGTGATGCCAAGGGGTTAAGTATTTGTTCGAGATTATAGATCGAGAAGTTTTACTTGAGAAGTTGCTAGTGTTGAAATGTTGAAAATTTTGTCAGATATTTTAAAATTATTATTGGGAAATTTTGGTATTTTGGTTGATATTGAGAAACAATGCAGATCGCAATGGAAGTAGTTCTATATTTTACGAATTAAGAATTATGTGGCACAAATATTATTGAAGAATTTTTATAAAATTATAGAATTTTATAAATATATCTTTTAGAAGTTTCTAATTGTTGATAAATTTATAATGATATACTCGATGTGTATAGATCCACATACAGATCCACGAGGTATTTTAGGGGTTATTTCTCCAGTGACATAAAAATTGTCATATATTTATTTATTTATTTATTTATACTGGATTAACCCATTAGAAAAATTACAAGAAAATTATTACAGTGAGGTGTAAAAATTTAATAACATGATACTCATTTTATTAATTCTTTGAAAAATCTTAAAAAATCCGAAATAAAACTAAATCCACAATTGCGTTTAAAACTGGATTAAAATAAAATGAAATTGAACGAATGATGACACGAAATTCTGCATGTGGAGTAAAATAAAACGTCGTGTATTTCAGTTTTTCCATTTCTTACTTCCAAGATCAATTTTAAATTACCACATTCAGTAATTCGACGCTCATTTTATTAATTCTTTCAAAAATCTTAAAAAACCGGAAATAAAACTAAATTCATAATTCCATTTAAAACTGGATTAAAATTAAATGAAATGTAATTAAACTCTGAAATTTTGTAATTGTTTGAAATCAATTTAAAATTTTCCAAAATAAAACTGATCTTCGCGATATACGTATAAATTACTCTCTCTCTCTAATTAATCTTTCTTTATAAATTACTACTGTCCAAATATCTTAGCCCTCGAAATAAAATATGCACCGATACTTTATAAACCACGTCTCACACTCGTTTCTAACATAACCTATATTCAAAAAAATAAACCGAAAAGGAACGAAAAAATGAGAAAAATTGGAAATAAATAAATAAATACATGTTTATAAGTGAAAAAGACACTGCATATACATACCTCGTCCACACCCGGATGCTATAAACAGTTGTAAACATCTCCGGTGCGAAGAGCACACTCTTCTTTCCGTTTCGCGTGTCTCTTCATGGGGTAGCGCGAGTTCTCTCGAGTGGTAAATCGTTTATCCTTTGAGGAATCCCACGGGACGAATTTTCTCTCCAACGAGGACGAGGATACGCCGCGACATGTGGCCGTGTCCTCGAGGCATGGCGGCCATAAATACGCCCGGTAACAGGATATTTCCTGTCGTCCATGCAGGTCTGCCATGGCGTTTTAATGACAAAAGACGTATCGATTTTCTTGGTGCCGGTGAACCGGCTGCTTGTTTTACGGTGATTTAAAAACCGTGATTCCTTGCCTGTTTCTTTAGCTTTCTTAATCTGTTTGCCATTAGTGGTCCATTTTTTACACCATTTCTTGTGAGAGGGTAGTTATTTTCGAATCAGAATTAGGGGATGTTTTCTTTATTTATTTAAACTGGAAGAATAAAAGTGGGGATATTCTTAGCTCGTTTACTAATAGTTATTTTGAAACGTTAATTTTTAATTAAAATTAGAAAATGATAACTTTTGTAAAAATTTGTTTGATCGTAGTAAAAGTAGTATAAGTTGGAATATTTTTTACCAATTTACCATTCATTGTTTATTTTTGGAGAATTTTTAGTCAGTTATTTATTAATTAAAATTAGGGAATAACGTTTATTTTGATTTATTTAGTCAGGGTAGAACAGAAATATTTTTCATTCTGTTTTTCTCTGATAAAATCAAGAAATGAATTTGTTTATTTATTTGTTCAGAGCATTGGAATATTCTGATTTTCTTTGACGTTAATTTTCCAGTTTTTAGACATTTTTAATCAATTATTTTTTTAAAATGATGTTGAGATATATATGTTTTTGAATTTCTTTGGTTGGATTAGTAGGAGTTAGAATACTTATCTCTTTGTCATAAATGGTCCATTTTCCAAATACTTTTGAGTAAGTTATCTTCTACTTAAATTCTGAAAATGATGTCTCTGTTAATTTATATGTTTAAGTTAATAGGAGTCGAGATACTGTATCGTTTAGTGGAAGTTTTATAGCTCCTCGAGAGACCATATTTTTCTGAGCACTGTGAGAAACTGTATTGTATCTCGAATGACAGTAAAATGGTAATAAATTTTGTGGCACGATATATTTTTAGCTATAAATTGTATGGTTTGTTTGGTCGATCGGTTTAGTGCTAAGTTATGGTGTATTTTATTGCAGTGTCGAGGGTCTTTAAATAGATCTATAATACTTCTTATCAGTGTCTCTGAAGTAAAAAGTACCAATAAAAAGACGTCAAGTTATTACTTCCTAACTCCACAAAATGGCAAAATGATAACAACTGCTACAGTCGTTTGAAATACTTCTATACTCTGTGAAACAAAATTGGAATAAGCCTCCTTTTAATTTTTACGAAAAATGTCCAAATTTCGTGGAAATCCGAATAAAAGTAGTAGAAGAAGAAGCATAGATGCTTTCATGAATGGAGTGCCACATTAAAACAATTTTTTGAAGTTACAGACAATATATTACATATTAGAAAAATTGAAAGTTACCATTTCATTTAACTCTTTGCAACTATAATTTCATTATCTTTCTGCCTGTTCCTCTTCGAATTTCATAGAAGTTAGATTAAAAGTAGTATATAATAAGTATAGATGCTTCCACGAATGAAATACCATTTAAACAAAATTTTCTGAAGTTACAGAAAATATATTACATATTAGAAAAATTTACAGTTACCATTTTACTTTACATTTTACAACAGTGACCTGGCTTTTCTTTTTATATTTATGGAAGTTAGAATAGAAGCAGTAGATAAAAAGTATAGATGCTTCCACGAATGAAGTGCCATTTAAAAGAAATTTTCTGAAGTTACAGAAAATATATTACATATTAGAAAAATTTAGAGTTACCATTTTACTTTACATTTTACAACAGTGACCTGACTTTTCTTTTTATATTTATGGAAGTTAGAACAGAAGCAGTAGATAAAAAGTATAGATGCTTCCACGAATGAAGTGCCATTTAAAAAAAAATTTTCTGAAGTTACAGAAATTATCTTAAACAATAGAAAAATTGAAAGTTACCATTTTACTTTACGCTCTACAGCAGTGACCTCGCTTTTACTTCACCCCATTTCTCTTTAAATTTCATGGAAGTTGAAACAAAAGTAGTAGATAAGAAGCATAAATGCTTTCACGAACGGAGTGCCATTTAAAAGAAACTTTCTGAAATTACAGAAAATATGTTAGAAAAATTTAGAGTTACTATTTTACTTTACGCTCTACAGCAGTGACCTCGTTTCTCCTTCACCCTATTTCTCTTTAAATTTCATGGAAGTTGGACCAAAAGTAGTAGATAAGAAGTATAGATGCTTTCACGAACGGAGTGCCATTTAAAAAAATTTTCTCAGGTCAAACAACGGTGTTCAATGTCCAAGCGTTAAGTCCAGCACTGAAAGTGCATTTTCTTCTGTTCTTCGCGATAACCGTTTTTACCATTGTTCGAAGATAAGCTCCTTCGGAATTCACTGCATTTTTCCCTTATCTGCGGGTTATCACCGGCCGAACAGACTCTCAGCGCAGATTTCGAAAGCTACTTATGCGTAACACCGTATCGCGTTTCTCCGACGTTGTTGGGATGTTTCGGAAGTCTTTCCGGTCAATCATCTTCCGTGATCTAAAAAATCCAGGGAGTGTCGATAGACAGTTATTTCCTAGTCGTTCTTCGTTCGCCACGAGTTTGTAAATCTTAGAATTTATTTATTAATTTCTTCGGCAGGATTCATTGACAAGGACTCTATCTGATATCATATGAATTCCATAAAATACATTTCCTATAATTATATTAGATATAATCCTTATTAAATTAAGTATTTAGACGATTACTATGAAAAATAACTAATAATTCTTTATAAATTATTACGCATTTATTTGCTCACGAATAATAATAGCAATCAAAACAAACAGTATAAAATTCAGAAATCCATTTACTCCGAAAAATTTATTTTTTTTTTCGCATGTTCATAGTATTTCAAAAAGTAATTAACTTAATTAATTTAAAAGACTCGTAACAGACAATTTTGCACTCGAGCAGTGATTCTCAGTCACCGTTTCTTTTGATATCTTGATTATTAATTAACGAATATCAAGCAATAATTAGATTAGAAGTAACTGCATGTGAAATGTTGAATCCTTTTTTATTTCAACATAAACGATATCACCGTGTTCAGAAAAATGTAAGAAAAGCTTCGATTTGTTTTATGTTTATAGCGAAAGATTCGAGTGTCAAGGTTGCGAATATCATCAGTCTTGACACCTCTGCTTCCAAAGCTCAATCACAAGACTCCACCACAAGTACCTACAGTTTAACACACAACTTCCTTCGAGATGAACTTTATCACGTCCACTTTGCCATGCTTCAAAACACTTTATTACCCTCGCGAGGTATAAGAAGAAAGCGATTT